AATAGTTCGTACTCGAAATCCTCGCAGTCGTTCACTCCAAGATGTTCTGCACAGTTTGTATTCGCGGGTCCGTACCGATAACTACCGAGTAGTTTACGCGCTTGGTATTTACGTCCGCCTCTACGAGTCTTGGATTTAGATTTAGGCATGAGGGTTAGTTGTCTAAGGAAAGGAAGATGCCGGTTGACGTGGTCTATAATAATTGTGCAGCGGTCCGCACCAAATGTTACAGATGTAGGCTTTGATTAACAGCGTGCGCTGGTCCGCACCGCTATTTATCTAGGCTTGTGCTCACTTCCAGTAGGATAAGGAGATAGTTGTATAAAGGTTGGTGAATCAACACTCGCGTTTTAATCAATAAATCCAAATATATTCAGGTAAAGTTACACTTGGTTTATCTTAGAATTAATAGAGTTACACTTGGTTTATTTTAGAATTAATAGAGTTACACTTGGTTAAAGATACAACCTACAAGAACGCATTCAAGACTTATACAAGTTAAGGTTTAGCGCGAGTGATATAGCAAGATTTAGCAAGAGACGTGTACGCGTCGAAGTCGGAGCTAGTACTGAGAGGGAGCGCCGTTACGTGGGCGCTTTTATACCCAGTGAGCCCCACTATCCTAGTGCTAAGGAATTTTGGGACGGAAGGGTCTTACTGTACCGTTAGGCCGAAGGGTTTTATGACAGGTCCCTTACGTGCCTCGGGTGTTGGACATGTTCGGAGGGTTTTATGACAGGACATACCGTTAGGTCGAAGGGTTTTATGACAGGACGTACCGTTAGGTCGAAGGGTTTATGACAGGTCCCTTACGTGCCTCAGGTGTTGGACACGTTCGAGGGGTCTTAGGGATGGATCCTTCTAGAAGGTTCGAGTATATTCTAGAAGCGGAAGGTTCTAGAAGGTTCGGGATTGTTTTAGAGATAGTGTTCTGGAAGGTTGGGGCTTCATGGAAGGTAGAACGTTCGAGAGACTTCGAGAATGTTCTCGATGGAAATAAGATGGAACATTCGAGAGACTTCGAGAATGTTCTTGAAAGAAATAGGATGGAATATTCGAGAGACTTCGAGAATGTTCTCGAAAGAATTAGGATGGAATATTCGAGAGACTTCGAGGATGCTTATATCTATTTTACACTTGGGTTATACTTATATTATACTTATGTTATACTTATATTATACTTATCTTCTACGCGTTGTTATTAATTATTCTTATTTTATGGTTTTAACTAACAATCGAAATTTTAAAAAGGAGAGTGGGGGCTGGACGTTACACCTCCCCCCTTAAAAATAAAAAGTTGGACGTATTGTTCCAAGTTTTTTGAAAGTGTATCTTTATTTATTATTATTATTATACGTGACATACAAGTTTACTTATTGTCTAAAAAGGGGTTGTATTATTACAAGTTTACTTATTGTCTAAAAGGGGTTGTAAGTACTTATTTAATTCACTGTAATTTCTCGCTTGAGTCTCTTTATTCGCAATACTAATGTTTTCGTCTTCTCCATAGGACGCTGTGGGGGCTGATCCTTGGAGTTCTAGGTCCTTGGCTGCTTCGTTCCTTGGGGCCGGTTGTTGTCTGCTCCCCAGTTGTAGCAGCAGGTGTGTGATGGAGCTCCAAACTGCTCCGATGAGGTGTATACTCCATCCATACACTGAATGGAGTGTATATCTTCGAATGAGTGAGTCGACCAGGAATTTAGCAATTCGTATCATCAGGAATATGGCCAATATTCCGGCGCTGGCAGAACCGAATGTGATGAATCCCTGCCATATTCGGGTGCCCGCGTTTTCCGCGATCTTCTCCAATGAGGCTTGATCCATGAGATTGTACATGGAAATACTTCCGTGTGGTATAGGACGTCCCATGGCTCCTTGTGCTATCATGTCTAGCATTGATGGTTTCTCGATCGGAAACATAATATGGTTTCGCAATCGATCTAAGTCTTCGGTGGAGTAGATTCCGCTGGTGGCAAGGTTTTCCGGGCTTACGTACTTCCATTTGGGTTTTGTGAGTGGTTGAATTACTGGAGGTGCCAGTGTTTCAACCGGCCGTGGTGTCATTCGGAACCAGGTGTCGTCGATCTGGTACATGGTGGGCAGGAGCCCGCTGCATTCCCTGGCTGTCCCTGATTTGGTCAATATTTTCGTCCTTGGTGATAGAAAATATGAGGCGTTGTTGTGTATAACCGGCAGCTCGTTATAGCACAAATTCGTCTGGCGTACCTTACATTTGACAGGTACGCATTTAATTAGGTAGATGATTTCGTCAGCTGTGATCGCGGTGTAACCTGGAGATCTCATTAGGCGAGAGGCCATCTCGTCTGGGGCAATGGTGGCCAAAGATAGGGCGTTCTCTAGTATCTGCTTCTCGAGGGCGCACTTCTGGCTCATTATGTCCCGGTATAGCTGCGTTAATTGTGTTTTTAGGTGTTTTTCTACATAAATTTTGAATTCACATATGAGAAGATGTCGAGGTTATCGACAGCCACCTTTGCACGTGTGTTGAATGTTCGTCCCGGTTGAGTTTCCAGGATGAACAGTTTCGGGTGTTCGGTCTTAATAATTTTGTAACCACATAGGTTTGTTTCCGTGGTTTTAGCCAGGGCAAATGTTGTCTCCCTGGTGGTTACTGTATATACCGTCGGCTGGTCGGCTTGAGTGAGCCGATGTGCCGATCCCTCATAAAGGACGTCGTATCTACGGAATTGGCAGGTATCTTGTAATTGGGTGACCCAGAAGGTTGTCATGCCATCGGCGTCGATGCATTCCCCGTCCGTTGCTTTGCATCTCGTCCCCGAGGGCAAGATGATTTCGTTTGAAGAGTACTTTTATTGGTATGTCCAATTTCCTGGTTGCGATTTTGACCGAGGCTTGTACAACTACGTTCTTCCAGCTGCCAAACGGGTCGCTATACTGCGTGCCCATACACTGTCCGTCCACTCTTACCGATCCCGCGAGTGTGATACTACGGGAGGTGGTGGAGTTTACCTTTATTCCGGTGATTAAAGTAGTG